TGCATCATTTCACTACCACTTCAACACGTGTCACGACCAGGTAGTGACTTTAACACGTTGGTCGACTTTGACACAACCTCTACGTTTTGGATTGTTTTGACCTCCCAATGCTCCTGAACTCGTTCCTAAACTTCCCCCCACGTACTAGGACCTGAAATGTGATAAAAAGAACACAACCTAGAGTGAAGTAGGCCTAGGAACGATGATCACCAAGTCAAACAATCAAGATATGAATGATAAAACATGTGTAATTGTGCTCGAATCACATATGTGACCAACTTACCCCCATCCTATTTCTTTTCTCTTCTACCAATGGGAGCAATAAAACTCAATTTCACTTTATATAAATCTAATTAACAAAAGCCATCATGAAATCCATGAAACAAACAATGATGGTTTTCAAGTCCATAATGAACCCAAAACCCTCACATATCCGTGAGTTTTCAAAACTCAAGTTTTACCAAAACCTTCATTTTTCAAATCCACTAAGCAAACTACCGGTTTATCACCATCCCAACCACCATCTCCTAATTCTCACCAATGCAATTGACGGTGGGGATTGAGTGAAGCACAAGCTAATGCCTTTATAAAGACAACCTTGCAAAAGTAGAGGAGACACATAAACTTCAATTCTCAACCCTTTAGGTTGGAATTGATTTTGGACTTTGAAGTCCATCATTTTGGACTTTCAAGTCCATCATGAACCCAAAACTCTCAAATATCCATGCTCTTTCAAACAAAAGTTCTATCAAAACCTTCATTTTTCAAATACACGAAGCAAACGACATGTTATATCACCATCCCAACTACCATCTTCTAACTTCCACAATTACAATTGACGGTGAAGATTTTTTTTTGTCATAGATAGGGAATGTTATAGATATTACAGGACACTTGACAACCACTGGCGATAGTCGACAAAAAGCCGAACTGTCGATGAAAGGGCACTAGAAGCCACTAAATGGGCAGCCCTGTTGTACAATCTCGGAGTAAAATTACAATCAAAGAAATTAAACAACGAGGCCACCGAATATATCTCCTCCAAGATCGCACCGCCAGTACCATGGGCCACATCCCTCGTCCGTATCCTGCGAATCAAAGGCTGGCAATTGCCACAGAAATTGACCGAAATAAAGCCATGCATGACACACCAATTAATCGCATCACGAACAGCTAATAATTCAGCTAAAAAAGGTTCAGACACACCTGGATAGTATCGGCCGAATGCAAATAGCAACTGGCCGGTGTTGGAGAATCCGACGAACCCAACTCCGCCACCCACCTCTTTCTTCCACGCTCTGTCGAAGCGGACAAGGACACCGTCAGGCGGACACAACCCAGCCGGCGGCGAGGTACTCGTTCCCTGGCCCGGTCTTCTCCGCGAACTAGACGCCTCACCCCCAGTCCTGTGAAGGGTCAAAGGCGCGGACGCATTTAGCCACTCCTCCAACTGTGCGCGAAACTGACGTAACAGGGGTTCCCCCAAGTACTGGATGTGCTTATGTATTGCCCAACAACGTGATTTCCACACTCGCCAACAAAGGAAAACAACATTAGCAATCTCAAATTTGGACAAATGACATTCAAAGAATAAATCATTCCAACAATCAGAAGGCGACAAACCCTCTAACCTCCTGCGTAGGTTGCCCAATCCAGCAAGCTCCCATAGCTCCATGGCCATCCGACAGTGGAGGAATGAGTGCGCAATAGACTCAGCCCCGTCCGAACAAACCGGACACACATTCTCTGTCACCAGCCGTTTAAGTTGAAGCACAGCTCGAACTGGAAGGAAGCCTCTGACCACTCTCCACCAAAAACATTTCAATTTAGGTGGTAGGGGTAGACTCCACAGCACCTTCTAGAACCTGCAATCATAAGGTAACGGGGAGGGAGGGTGCGCAGCCAATAGCTCATCGGTAAGAACATGGTAGCCGGTTTTTACAGTGTATTCTCCAGTTGAAGAATAGTGCCAGATGAGCTTGTCCGGGGAAACCTGCATCGGTAAAGGAATAGAGAGAATTAAAGCCACCGATGCTGGCACAAAAAGAGAAGTCAGCAGCTCAACATTCCAGAAGCGGGAAACAGGGCAGATGAGTTATGAAACATAAATGGGACAGGAGGTAACATGCGCCAGCAACACAGGAATGGACGGAGGGTTCGATGGGAGCCAGTTGTCAGCTAGCACTTGCACAGTAGATCCATCCCCGATACGCCAACGAAGGCCGCGCAGCAGCAGATCCCTCCCGGCTAGAACGCCTTGCCATGCCCAAGACGGCCTTGGACCCGATGGCGCCTCCAAAAAAGAAGTATGGGGATGATATCTCGCTCGGTAGAGAGTCGCCAACGTGGAATCCGGATTCATTAGAACTCGCCAGGCTTGCTTCGCCAAGAGAGCAATGTTGAAATGTTCAAAGTCTCGAAAGCCTAACCCCCCTGCAAATTTACTGAGACACACTTCCTGCCAAGAGAGCCAATGTATCCCGTCTTCTTTATCTTGATCAGCCCACCAAAACCTTGATAGCTGGCCATTCAACCTGCGACAAGTGTAGGAAGGAAATCTAAAAGCAGACATTGCATAAATGGTGGAGGCCGAACCAATAGACTTGATCACCGTTTCCTTCGCAGCCAAAGACATAGCTTTAGTTTTCCACGACCTAATCCTAGCTGCTAGGCCCTCCTCAACAAATCTAAACGTCTGAGTTTTAGACCTTTGAACATGAACTGGCAGCCCTAGGTATTTGTCAATCGAGCCCGAAGCAGCCACCCCCAGAAAGGAACCCAAGGCCAACCGTTCCTGATCAGAAACATTAGAGCTAACACACAAAGAAGACTTAGAAAAATTAACTCTTTGACCACTAACCCTCTCCAACTCGTCAAGCACAGACAGCAAGTTAGCACATTCCGGAATTGAGGCTCTCAAGAACAGGTAAGTATCGTCAGCAAACAATAAATGCGAAGTCAATGGAGCATGCCGATGAACCCGCAAACCATGTAAATTCGCAGCCATGATCTCACAAGAAAGTTTAGCCGAAAAGGCCTCTGAATAAATAGCATAGAGAAGGGGCGAGAGAGGGTCACCTTGACGCAAACCCCGTTGAGGCTTAAAATACCCGTGAGAATGCCTATTAATTAGCACCGAAAAGGAGACAGAGGAGATACAAGCAGAAATCCAACGCCGCCATTCATAACAGAATCCCATCTGTTCCATAATCAGCAACAGAAACGGCCATTCCACATGGTTATACGCTTTTTCCATATCCAGCTTAAGCGCCATCCACTTGTCACGGCCCTGCACTTTAGTTTCCAGAAATTGCATAACTTCTTGACCAATCAGGATATTGTCAGTAATCAGTCTACCACGCACAAAACCATTTTGGGTGGAACTCACAACATCAGGTAAGACCACACTAAGCCTAGCAGCCATAATCTTAGCAATGATTTTATAGAATACCTGACACAAACCTATGGGCCGAATTTGTCGCATTGACTCGGCATTCAAGACCTTCGGCAGTAAGGAGATGAGAGTGTGGTTGATGCTGTGTAGAAGCCGACCCGAGCTAAAGAAGCTTAGGACCGCATCCGTGATCAACAGCCCCACCACCTCCCAGTGTACTTGGAAGAACGCCGCTGTGAATCCATCAGACCCGGGGGCCTGATGACTGCCAATCTGGAACACTGCCTCCTTGACTTCCAGCCCCAACACCGGAGCTATCAGAGCAGTATTCATCTCCCTCGTGACTCTGCTAGAAATACCCAAGGAGTCCACATACGACGAGGCATCTACATTGTTAGATGTGAAGATCGATTGATAGTATGGAATAGCTATACCTGCCATGGCCTCTTCGTCATGTTGTAGCGATCCGGTCTCATCCCGTAGCCCTCTCAGCCGATTAAAGCGCCGTCGCTGAATCACCGTGCGGTGGAAAAGGTTGGTGTTGGCATCCCCTTCCCGGAGCCAACCCACCCTCAATTTTTGTCGCCAGAAGCATTCTTCTTCAATGTAGGCAGTCGATAGATCCCGTTCTAGATGACGAATGCCATCCCAATACACCATTGGTGCCTCCCGCAGATCCTCAATTGCCAACTTTAACTCCCTGATGCGCCGAGCCGAATTAGAAGTCCCCAATCTCGCCCATTCCACCAGATCATGGCGGACCATTTTGAGCTGATTAAAAGCTCGGAACTGAACAGACCCGCGCATGTGTTTTGCCCAGGCCACCTTAATTACAGCCAGTGCCTCCAAATTGGAGTTCCACCTCCCATCAAAATGGAATCTGGTATGCCGGTGGTGACCCTGTTTAGTGAGCTTCACAAGGAGCATCCTATGGTCAGAGCCCAAGTCAGTAAGATGAATTACCTTCAAGTCCGACCATTCTGCCATTGCCGAGGTACTCCCAAGACACCTGTCCAATCGCTCGAGGATGTGTTCCCCGCCAGCTCGCCGATTCGACCATGTGAAGGGTGATCCTTGAAAACCTAGATCAACCAGACCAGAAGATAAAATAAATCCATTAAGCTGATCTAATGCAGCAAACGAAGGCACATCCCCCCCCCCCCCCCCATCTTTTCATTTGTAGACAAAAGACAATTAAAATCCCCCACCACAAAGGAGGGTAACGACATCGACGAGAGTAAATAGGCAATTTCATTCAACTGACTCTGCCGAACAGCAGCTTCACACGATAAATGCACAAACACAATAACTAGGTTCCCTATAGAAGGAATGACACACTCTACAAAGCAATGGAAGGACGAAAGCTGATGCACTGTACAAGACACATGGTCACCCCAACCAACAGCCAACCCACCACTCCCATTAGACGCACTAAAACACCTTACTGATTTAAAACCCAGACTAGCCAATTTGGACTTGACAAACTCATCTTTCCTTTTTGTTTCGCTGAGGAAGACCAGACTAGGCAAGAACCTCGCCACGGCTCCACCGAGAGAGGGAACTGTCAAGGGGGAGCCCATCCCCCGGCAGTTCCACACCATAAAACTCATGGGTGGGATTGGGCCCAGTTGAGGCTGGATGCCACCGCCTTTCCATGAAGAGAAGAAGTTGTCTCCGCCGATCCAGGACCTGCCCGGGCTCTTTTGGCTGCAGGAGAAGACGAGTTGGGGACAATGCCTGCAGAATAGGTGTCATCCTCCATCAATTGAGTTATTGCTGCCTCACTAGGACCCGACTTCGGCAGGGTAATCGCAAGAGATTGGAAATTGGACCCCATCCGACGCGGTGAGGGCCGCCAAGTATCGCGCCATTCGCCAAGAGTACCACCATCCTGTGCCAACAGCAGTTGGGGAGGAGCCTGGCGTGGAGGGGGTTCCTTGAAAGGGCCGATACTCCTTGATGAAGATGGGCGAGTCTTGGCTGCTCGGATCCAAGTGAACCGCCGACTGCGCTTGGAAAGGGTATCCTCCGTCACTGGTGACCCTGATTCGGTGGCCACCGAGAAGACTCCGTACTTTGGGGTAACTCCAGAGAACTCCTCCTTCCTCGGGCAATTCTCGCCAATATGCCCAATGACACCACACAGGAAGCAAAAGTGAGGAACCTTTTCAACTTTAACCAAAGCCACAAAGTTACCTCGATTCTGATCAACATGACCAGCAGCAATGGTGTCCGGCAAAGGGGCCGTGAGATCGAGGACTGGAGCCGCTCTAACGTACAGCCCACCCGAGACATCTGAGCGGTGAAGCGTGGGAGGATCATTAAGGACCCCAAGAGAGGAACCCAACCGCCAAGCCATTTTCCCAGTGAAGCATTCGAACGGGACCTTCCAAATCTGCACCGCCATTGGGGCCCAGCGGAGACGATCAGCCACCGCAGGGGTCGGATCTTCCCACCATGCCAGAACCAACATGAAGTTGTCGAAGATCCAAGGAGATTTGGTAACCGCCTTGTGCAGGTCAGCCTTCTGCGAAAAGAGGAATTGGGTCAAACCCTCCTCTACGGCGGAAATCATGAGGTCCCCTTTGTACCGCCACACTCGACCCAGCATCATCCTTAGTGCATAAAGCGGCGATGGGGAACCAATCAGTCGGCCGATCAGAGAAAGCTCCCCCCTGGCAAGCCCGGCCGCCAAGTCTTCGTCATCGAACTACACAACTGCCATGGTCGGGGAAAACCAAATCAAGGAACAAGGAGCAGAGTGAGGGTGAGAAATTGTAATCCGCACACTACCACCCCCCCGTCGGCCAGAGATTTATAGCCATGCCGCCCCGGAGATCCAGGACCCGTCGCCGCACGATGGCGGAAAGCCCGATGGGCATAAGCGCACGAAGGCGCTTACCGACCCACTCTACCGAAAAGGGAGAGCACGATCGGGGAAGGGTTTTTTTTCAGACCTTTTTTCCCATAGCCAACACGACGGTGGAGATTGAGTGCAAGCACTCGCTAACGCCTTTATAAAGGGAACCTTGGAGAAGCAGAGGAGACACATAGACTTCAATTCCCACCCTTTAGGATCCCCTCTCTGGTTGCAACTTAGCATATACAACTTTCTTCCTTCCTTTTCCTTTATATATTTTCTCTCTAGTTTCATTCTATAATTGGTTCACTTGAAATTTTGACCCTTTCAAACCAGCTGTATAGGGAAAATAAATGAAAAAAAAAACAATGTGTCTTTGTAGATCCAATATAGTTAATCTAAGACAACAAATTGGTGTCCAAACGGTTTAGTACATGAACATCATAATTCTCAAGTCATCTCCATAACAATTTTCTTGTCATCTAAAGGAAAACAGTAAACCAAGAAATCAACTTACCGTCCAAATTTGTAACACATCTTCAAACAACTGGCATACAAAAGATAAGGAAAAGTAGAACTAAAAAACAGTGAATTTCATCGAAGAAAAGAACATAAACCACATAAAAAAGACAACCGACACTAACTAATTTTCGCAATGTAACAATTGCTAGTTTATTAATTTCCCCTTCAACCCCCATCATTTCGAAAAGCAATCAATCAGATTCAAAGGCAATAGCCATAATCTTCATCTTCCCATTTCTTTGTCAAAACTTAGCCTTTTCCAAGGATCAATAAGATGGGTTGTGGATCATCTAAACTAGAACATGTCGGAGATGTAATAATGCTACCAGCAAAGATACGACCAATGATAGTACGAAAAGTGGAGGAGATTAAAAGGCATGCCAGGAACTCGATAGGCTCTGTCACTTCAAGGAAAGAGCTTCTAAATGACACCAGCGGATACCATCGTTGTGACTTCTATGTTGACAGCAGCAGAGGATCCTCCACCACCATGAATGATAATAGCCTCAAACGTTGTGAAAATGCATTGTCGTCATCAGAACAGTGCGAGGAATTCAAAGATGCGGTGGAGAATCTATCAGAAACACCTATTATTGGGTCTCCCAAAGCAAAGACACCAATAGAGTTTGAGGATAAGGTTAATAAGGTAGCGGCGGAGTTTCTTGCTTGGAGCGAGATGAGAGCTGAATCAAAGAATTATATGGAGGAAGAGGAGATAGAGGTGGTAGAGGATGAAGAGGAAAATAGTGAAGGTGAAGATCTTAGACAACGACGAATATGCCCCGGGTCCCCAAGTTTCAGGGTGTACTACGTAGAGTCATTGGCTTCGACAATCAAGGATGATGGCAGCTTTGCAGAGTTGGATAATGAGATCGAGAATGAAAGACATAAGGAAGTAGAGAAGAAAAGGGACTCTGATATGATACCAGAGGAACTTGTAAAACACAAAAAGGTAGGGAATTTTTTTTTGCATTTTATGGCATATAAGCTTATACTTAGGTTCTCTTCTTGCTTATATACTATCGTTTCCTACAAGCAAAAATTGAAAAAAATTTTGTGCACCAGGGGATAATGAGAACGATGAGGAAGCAAGGAGGAAAATTGAAAAGGGTAATAATAACCAAGCCAAAATCAATGACCGCCACCAAATTGCTAAAGGTGCCATCATGTGCAGGAAAATCTACAAAACGAATTGAAACTTCAAAACCAAAATTTTGATCTGTTTCGAATTATTGTCCCCTTGATAATTGTAAATTTTTATTGCTTCACATGTTTCTAAAAAAAATTTCTCTCTCTCACACTTTGTCACATTTTTATCAAACAATTTTTCTATTATTATCAACCAAAAGGAGGGAAAAAAAAAACATGTGAAATCTAGTTGTATAACCCAGTGACGGATCCAGGATAAGGTAGAGCGTTGGGCCACATTAGAAAAAGAGGCGGAAAGCACTTGGCCGTAACCCGACAAACACTAAAACAAATACCGAAAATCGAAAATTTACAAGGATATACTAGCTTTGAATACAGGGGAGGCTGGGCCGTGGCCCGGGGGCGGCCCTCCTAGATCCGCCGCTGGTATAACCTCAATTTCATGTGTTTGCAATGGAGTAGAACAATACAAGTGCTAACCTTATTCAAGTATATATAGTACTAGGTCATTATATGCCGCGTTTCGGCATGCGTGAGTTCTTTGTGCATCACTTGTTAATCAAACTAACATAAATTTTCTATAAATAAGTTGTTGAAACAATCAAAAGATGTTATCATGGTGAAAGAACGAACAACCATGAAAACTCTAATACATGATCATCAATTTCAAACCCAGATGAATTTTCACCATATGATCATCACTCGTTGTCCTATAAATTAAACTACTTGGCCTCGAAACCACCCACCAAAGAGTTCAAAAATGTTGAAGGGTTGTTACCAAGGACCCTAGCAAGTCATGCATGACTACTATTAACCATGGAAGCATAAACTTATGAGTTATAATAAATTATATATAATTTGAGGAGCCAATAATAATTAGAGAGGTTGCCCCGGTGTCCTAACATAGAAACCAGGTTCAATGTGCTAGACAAATATATATTTTAGAGTATCAACATAGAAACCAGGTTCAATGTGTTTTGATGAGGGAATAGATCTTCCTTGCATTTTTGGGCCGAGATAGGAATTTGTTCAGAGATAAAGAAAAGATGAAAATCAAGAGAAGGGTTGGGGTAATATTGTGTCAAACACTCAAAGGCAAAGCCTTGTCCGACCACCGCATGTAGCTAGCTGGTGGTGAAATTAAAAGCCCGCAGGTTTGCCAAGAAACAATTACAGTAGTTTAGATTAGGGAAGTTCTTAGGGAACAGTAACCTGTATTTAACTTTGTATATATATCAATTAATTGAAGCGAAGAAAGAAACTACATTTATCATTTGCATTCCTCAGCTGAGACAAAACATGCAAAAATCCAAAACAATTACAGGAGAGAAAAAAACACACACAAATCATACACTTTGGAATATGTGAATCTTCTTCCATGATTACTTTGTGCTCGGGACAATCTCGTAGTTGTTATGAATGTATCATATATGAAATTCAATACTTAGCAAGAAACTAATATCGAACAAGGCTAACCACGCGAGCCAAACTTATTGTCTTTCACAACCTATTAAAATGTGTTGATCGTCCAATTAATTGGTACCTTTGGTAACCATACCCACTGATAACACCTAAAATAAGTGTTATTTGGCCCTCATTCATGAAACATTTGTGTGCTAAATCATCGTGTCTAGACCACATATCAAGTAAGTTTATTCATATTTTCGTTTTTATTTGCAAAACATCCATTTGGCATGGGTTAGCTTGATATGAAGGTTTACATAGGTAAATTGACCTCACTTTGTCGTACTTTATGCTTTTCTAGTATTTTTTTATGAAATTAAAGGACTTGAATCCATCTAGCATCGGTAAAAAATCAATTAGAGTTCATCCGGTCACGATTAGAAGCATAGGAGCAAGAAGGGAAGAAAAAGCATAGGCCGTGACCATGTTTTCGGTCGTGAGCAGTGGCTTAGAACTTTAGCAGGCAACCAACAAGAGGGCAAAAAGTTTTGACACTTAAATCTCGACCAATAAGCTTTTCGACCACCAAAAAGACCATGTACATGACACAAAAGATCGGGGTCGTGATGTCACAATGGAGGTCGCGATCTCAGAACTTGAAGACGATGTCAAAAAGTGATGTTTCGGGCGATTCAGTGTCGTTTCAGCCAGATCACGCCCTCGTCACACCTGTGACCATTGGGTCACGCCATCGAAGCAGTGATCAGTGTCAGGACACTATAAATATCTCTTTTCTGCACTTGACGAAGAAGACTCGACCTAGAGTGAGAAAATTTAGGATTTTGGGCAGTTCATAGATAGGAACACCTTGAGAGAGCTTGAGAAAGGTCCAATCCATCCAATGATCAAGGATGAAGGTGAAATCCAAAGTGAAGAAGATAGTTTTCATCACTTCCCCTCTTCTTAGTTTTATTTTTTCTCTCTATAACTTAAATCCCTAAGGTTATGTAGGGAAAATGAACCCTAGTTTATAGATCATTTATGGGTCATTTGTATGAATGATTACAAACCTATGATTTATATACTTGATATTTGTGCATAAATCTCTTCCTTAGGGAAAGAGTGCTTTAGACATCAATAAGTGTGGAATTGTCTGTATCCCATTTGCTTTAGTGGTAACCTAGGTGATAGGGAATTTATCATTACTACGCATAAGAATTTATGGTGTATTTGATTTTTAACTTGGGTGCTTAATGCTTCTATTTATGGTTAGATGTGTGTGAATGCTTCCTACCTTGATTAGTTGACCTAGAGGGCTAGCTAGAGGTTGAGGTGACCATTCCCATCTAGACAGATTCTCACTTGTTGATGCTTGTAGGTTAGGTGCGTGACCATCGACCTACCATACTTGTGTGCGGGCAAAGTTAAGCCGTTCAGAGGAGGTAGAAGCTATTCCTAATTAGGTACCCTGGTTGAGCTGACATTGGACCAACTATCCTAGCTAGGAGGGTGATCAATTACATGACAATTGAGTCTATCCCCACCTTCTTGATATCTGAACCCGAGATACAATTAGATTATTGCCCGTAACAACCTATAGCTAGAGGGAATCGACTCTAGGAAACCATCTCATCTCTAGAGGTCTCCCAACCACTTGGTTGGTTGTCTTTAGGTAGTTAGTTTAGTTTAGTTCTACCCCCAACCTTCCGAATTGATTAGATAGTAGTTCGAAGCGAAGTAATACTAAGCCGAAGGTTCACTTGGAATACGACCGAACCACTTTAATACATCCCTAGCCTAGTTGTGAGGATTGATGTGAGTGCACTTCGACCTTACATATATTAAAACTTTAACATTAAGTTTTTGGCGTCGTTGGCGGAAAATTCTTAGGCTATTAGGAAAAGTCAAGAACTACTAGTCTAATAATTTTTATCGTGTTTGTGTGTTGCATCAAGTATTTGGTGTCGTTCTCTTTTTTTTGTGTTTGTATCTTGTTTTGTGAATATTGTGTTGAGTATAGTGTGTTTGTGATGTCTTGCTTTCTTTCTCGTATTCTTCTTTCATTTGTTATGTTTCCATTATTTATTTTGTATTAGGTTATTGTTAGTATTTAGGTTGTTTTTGTTTTCTCTTCTTTATACTTTTGCTTTCATAGGTTTTTTTTTTGTGTTTGTAGATACTTGTACATATGGAACCAAACGGTTGGCATAATGATAACGTCTTAATTACACATATTTAGTGCCTCGCTATAACGCAACTCCTAACAATGGCGAAATGTAACCAATGAAAGGGACTGAAATATAGCCGCACAAGTAATAAATATCAAATCCATGAGTCTCTAGAGTTACTATTACTCAGATTCAGTTCATCATCTAGCAAACCAGATTAAGATAGAAGAACTATAACTACTTTAGCAAACTACAATTAATGTTAATTACAATTACAGGTTGGGAACTCACTTAGGTAGGATCCCCCCTATATCCTCAATTAGGTCCAAGGTGTAATTCCCTTTAGTTGTTTTACTAATGATTATACTGCAGAAGATCTGATAATAGCTTGCAATCTCTTAAGTCGACCAAGCACTCTTAGACAAAGTACCCGTCGATCGACTGACCTCCACCGGAGTAAAATGCTAAGGCAATACAAAAATATCTCCACTATAATAAATTCCAATACATAGTAATGAATCGACTAACTCTCGTATAATCGATTCACCACTTCCAATTGAAGAAGATCTCTTAACCCAATCAAATTCTATATATCCTAGGTTCGAGAAGAAATCATGAATATTGGATCCATCATTTATATTACTAGTTTTTTACCCGGCCCGTTGGCCAGAGAATTTCATTTTATCATTTATATCAATTAATTTATCTATATATTTTAAAAAAATTAATCTTCTAATTTTTCTATGCTCTACTTCATAAATGAGTATGCGTTATGTCTTATATTAACAATTCTCAATACTTAGCAGGGTGCCAGGGTCACCTATGATGCTTCAATTCTCTAATCATAAATCATATTGTGAAGGAATATCACGCCCCTTTAGAATAGTATATAAAGATTTGTCAACCAAAGTGCTCAAATTTATTATCTTATAAACCATATACAATTCGTGATTCTCGAGCTAGGATAAACTCTCAACCAATTGTTAAAGAGTTCGGATTATTGGATAAATATGCTTGATTACCGGATAAATTGTGTTTATCCCAAGTTAAACTTGACACACCCCTTACGATGATCAACTTTTCTAATCTTGACTCATTTTCATGAAGTCTCGGCAAACAATCTTATGTAAAAAAAATTCTATCAATAGACTCAAAATTAGTATCTTATATAATAGAGTAAATATATAATTTATTAGCCAAACCCAAAATTTTCAAATTTTTCAAATTATCAGCCAAACCTTTCAAAATACCAAATATTAGCCAAAATTATTAACAATAACAGACAAATGATTAATATTTTGACGTGATACAAAATATTTGGCTAATATTATGTATTTCGAAAAGCTCGGCTAATAATTTGAAATTTTTGAAAGGTTTGGCTATTAAATTTTATCTACTCAATATATATCAATTACTAATTCTTGAAGTTTGGACTAACCCGCAACCCAAGATTGTTGTCTATATGTTGGCTTGGAATCTCAAACCAAGACACTCTCA